AGGGGGTCCCCTGAGACCCCCGACCCTGAGCCCTGACCTTACAATGGCCGTACTGGGTCAGACCAAAGACCCATCTACCCCAGTAGCCTGTCTGCCGACAGTGGCCAACACTAGCTACCCCGGAGGGAATGGACCAAAGACAATGACCAAGCCATTTGTCTTGTGCCATCCATCTCCAGCCTTCCAAAACAGAGGCCAGGGACACCATTTCTATCCCCTGGCTAATAGGACTCCATGTACCCAACCTCCATGAATTTATCTCACTTCTCTTTAAACTCTGTTCTAGTTGTAGTCTTCACAGCCTCCTGCAGCAAGGAGTTCCACAGGTTGACTATTTGCTTTGTGAAGACGAACTTTCTGTTATTAGTTTGAAGCCTGCTACCCATTCCTTTCCTTTGGTGTCCTCTAGTCCTTCTATTATGGGAACTAATGAAGAACTTTTCTTTATGCACCCTCTCCACACCACTGGGCTACGTCTACACTGGCCCCTTCTTCGGAAGGGGCATGCTAATTTTGAAAGTGGGAATAGGGAAATCCGCGGGGGATTTAAATATCCCCCGCGGGATATAAATAAACATGTCCGCCGCTTTTTTTCCGGCTTGGGGAAAAGCCGGAAAAAAAGCGTCTACTTCAAAGGGCTTTATTCTGGAGGATCGGGCCAGTCTAGACACTTTTTTCCGGCTTTTCCCCAAGCTAGTTCGAATTACCACTGTAGTGTAGACATACCCTGAGAGAGAGAAAGGGAGAAGAGATATTGCAAGAAATGAACGAGATTAATATATGAAACAATATAACAACACTAGAAATCCTGTTTTGAGGTGGGAATGAAAAACCCCTTATGCTTCAGGTTAGTGAATAGTTAGTTGCACGTCTTGTTAGTGTCTAGGTGTATTAATGTAACTTTATATGAATTGGAATCAGTATATATAGTACGAGCCGTCCTCACTGTAAGTCCAAGATATGTTCAAAAAAACTTGGACTTACAGCGAAACAACTTAAAGTGGGGAATTTTTTTCCCTCAGTTGACTTCCATTTGCGCAAATTGGGGTTTTTATTTTTTTGCACAACTTAAGAGTGGGGAATGGGAGGACTTATAACTCATTAGTTCCTACAAGCGTCAACAACTTTAGTGCAGAATGGATGTATACCAGGGATGCCCTGTAGCCTAATCTTTTTTAAATGGATGTCTGAAGTTAGGCGAAGCCGAGACTTAGGTATCTAAATTAGTGACCTGGTTTTCAAGGGGCCGAGCATCCAGCAACTTTGATAATGAAAGCTACCAGGAGCTGGCCTAAGAGTTTTATTAAAATATAGCCAAGTGCTATATCTGGTGATGAATTTGGGATGTGGCTCAGAGAGGACTTGTTCTACTCCAGTCCTGGTGCTAGACCCAGGAAGGAAATCATAGTTCCTGAGAATAATTTATAGTCTTTTAGCTGGAGGGTGTCATGGTGCCTGATGTAAGCAGTGAACATAGAGCCAGGAGTGTGTTTTCACTCATTTAGTCCAGCAGTGAGCAAAATGTGGCCGAGCTGGCCTCCATTTTCTTTTCCTGTCTCGGTGCCCGACGTACATGAAGTGGGAGTGGGGGTAGGGGCAGACCGGTGCTTTACATTACAGGGGCCGCAACAAAATGTTCTTGGCGCTTTTTTTTTTCTTACCAAAAATTTTCCTGGCCCTGGGGGTCGCACATTAAAAACGGTTGAGCACCACTGATTTAGTCATTGGCTCAAGGCACAAGTGGAGGCACCATGCTTCTCTTGTAGAATGTTTTCAGCGATTTCTCAGTGACTGTTTTCCACATTTGATGGCTGATCCTGAAAGGTGCCAAGTATCGGAGTAGCTGGTGCTGATCTCTACTCAGAATCAGGGCCTTGTTTGCTCAGACTCAGACCAGGTCTACCCTATGGGATGTTTGAATTAAGATACATTAATTGCGTAGCTAGAGTCGACGTACCTTCATTCGAACTTTGGCACCATCCCCACAGTGGAAGGTCAATGGGAGAAAAGCTGCCATCGACTTCCCTTACTCCTCATGAGGTGTAGAGTACCAGCATTGGTGGGAGATAATCTCAGCATTTGATTCAGTGGGTCCTTACTAGACCTGCTAAATCAAATGCCAGAAGATCGACCTCCAGAGCGTAAGGTAAGTATAGACGTGGCCTTAGTGTCAGTGAGGGAGTGCAGAAGCAGTATAGGACAATTCCACTGACCTATAGAAACACTGACCAGATAGAAACATCTGGTGCCTGAAACTACATACACACATTTAAGAGGAAAAACAAACTGGATGCTTTTATATTGGTCTGGTTCTGTTCCATATTCGACTCCTTCCTTTGTCATTCATTGCCATAATTACTACAGTAGATGCTCCTGCTATGCCTACACTTTGTTGACAACTTAAAGTCTCTCTCTTTAGCTTTCCACATTAAATGCAGCCATTGATCTCTTGCTCAGAAAACTTGAACAGTTCCTTTCGCGCAGGGAGTTACGGACTTCCTTAGCAGTGACTAAGCGAGCTAAAAACTTTCAGATTGCTCAACCAGCATGCCGACTCCTCCAGCCCTGAGTTAGAAGCAGTTTGTAATTACTTTCTCAGTTAGAGGATCAGTTCCTCTGCATTATGTTGTCAAATCGGAACGCACTGCGCTTTCTCGAGCTGCTTGAAATGTTGAGCTGATATTCATCTGAAAGACATTACAGTATTATCACGAGGATACGTGTGATGTTATGGTCCCCCCCAAGGCATTGGCTCGGGTGCATAAATAGAAATAAAAGCCAGTTTAATAAGCACACGTTCTGCCACATTTAAAAGAAATCTGGGTCAGATAAAGAAAAGGAGCCACAGGGCTCTGTAAAAGATATTTGGGGTGAATATGACTGTGTTCTTTGTGTTATGGTAGGGTCTGCTAGGCACTTTCCACAGCTGTTCCCAATAACTTGCAATCAGAGATTGATGGCATTTCCTTCCCACAATTAATTAATGATGTAGAAGCATGTTTTCGGAAGTGCTTCTAATTTTTTCCACCCATGTGCGGAATAATTTTTTGTGTGCCCCCAAGGCATGTAGGCCACCAGTAGGAACGTGTGCTACCAGCTGTGGGTGCTCTGCTCATCAGGTGGGCAGCACCTGAATCTTTCCTGGGTGGCTGCCCGAACTCTCAGCTTACAAGGAATACTGGTGCTGAGCATGTGCTGCCTCCTAATAGCCAAAGGAGAGCAGTGTTTCCTGGAAGCTGAGCGTTCGGGCGGCTGCCCAGGAGAGATTCATATGCCACTCAGCTGATTCGCAGAGCGCGCACGGCACCCGCGGCCAGC